ATCCCATGTAACTCTGAGACTTTCTTCAACTTGCAAGATTTCTGTTTTAAAATGACAGCTGTATAGTAGAAGCCAAAGGTAGAGAGTGTTGGTAGAATGTGTGCATATCAAGAAGTGAAATAAAAACAGTTGAGTTAGCTTTGTGCAGTCTTTCCACTGTTCTGGTAAGAATGAAATACATATGCCTATACAAGCTACGAAATATGAATTGTATATTTTCAGTAGTTCTGCTTATGAGTCAAGTGTTTTATATACGCATTTAAAACAGGTACTGCACAAAATAAAGCCAAATGGCTCAAAAAAATTCACGCTAATAATTTAAAATTTTAATTTGTCTTTACTTAGAATGACATTAAAGAGCAAAAACACAAAACAAACAAACAAAAAAACACTATGACAAGTTGAGAGAAAGAGACCATGGAAGAAAATACTCTGTATTTTAGTACCTTTAATGACAGTTTTTTCCTGCTTTTTAAACAAGGAGCCCAAAATTTTTGTTTTCATTTTTTACTGGGTCCCAGATATTATGTAGCTGATCCTGCAGATATCCTAGTTTGGATTGAGAAGTTGTTGGTCTCTGTCTCCTCATGAGCTCTTTCCTTTCTTTGTGGCCCTCCCTGGGCACTGGGGCAGGCTAGGCCAAAGCTCTGGGGTCGAGGTACAGTGCCTGCCCTCTGCCTTTTCTAGAGCCACCATCTACAGCTTCCAGGTCTGAAGATCCCACTATCTCCCATTCTCTGTTCCCTCACTTTCCTACTTAGTCCTGACACTGTGAAATGTTGTCATCACTCCCTCAGTTATAATATTCATCACACTTCATATTGTTTACTTCAGTTTTTGACTTCTTTGCTATAAACTGTGCAAGAGAGGGGCTCTCTCTCTTTTGCTCACTGTAGTATATCCAGCGCTTGGCACATAGTAAGTGATCACTGACAGGTTTTTATTTTTTTCATTTTTTATTATGAAAACTTCAAGCAGACATAAAAATAGAGATGATAATTTAATGAACCCTTGTATGCCACAGCCCACTCTGTCTACATTATCCTGCCATTCTTGTTTCGGCTCACTAATTTTCGTCTTTCTCTTTCATGCTGTTGGATTTCCTCAAATGCCTTGTGATTCTTGGTGGACATTTCTCCTTTATGAATGAAGAACTGTGTTGCCTAATATAGATAGCTAGCGTGGATTTCCTTTGTAGTTGTGTGGGTTCGTTTATCCAAATGCCTATCATGCCCTGAAGGTCCCTGGGTGGTGCAAATGGTTTGCACTGGACCTCTAAACTAAATGTTGGCAGTTTGGACCCACCTAGCAGCACTGAGTAAGAAAGACCTGGTGATCTGCTTCTGTAAAGATTACAGCCAAGAAAAGCCTATGGAGCAGTTCTACTCCGTAACACGTGGGGTTGCCATAAGTCAGAATCAACTGAATGGCAACTGGTTTGATCTTGGTTTTTACCATGCCCTGAATGTGAGGGGTAATTTTTGTCTTTGAGGAAGGGAGCAGGGTCTATCCATTGGCTTCCCCTTAAGGTGTGTGAGGGAGGAGCAGGCAGGCTGCCTTGGGACAAGACATCTCCTGAAGTAAGTGGGACTTAGTCTAGGGGTAGAGTGTATTAGTGTTGATTGCCCTGGGCAGAGCTTTCTCCTTATTTTCCCTCCTGGTCATCGCAGAGGTCCACTAGTTTCCTCAGCTCTGTTCTGTCTCCCTCCCTGACCAAATATCTTTACCATCAGCCCTCCACAGCCAAATTTTCCCTTGTTCAGAGCAATTCTTAGGGCTCCATCTGGGTCAAATGCTGCACTGTGCCCACAGTGCCTATAAACAGTCTTCCATTTAATCCCTCTGATTGTTGTCCACAGCACACTCTTGTTCTTTTTTTCTAATTTTTTTAAATTGAAGGTTTACAGAAAACTAGTTTCTCATTAAACAATTAATACACATATTATTTTGTGACATTGGCTGCACACTCTCGTTCCTTGCACCTACTGACTCTAAGCTCAAAGCCTCTCTTTAAGGATGAACGGTAGGTGAACATGTGTGCTTAGTCTGCCATACTGAGGGAACTTCTAACAAATATTTGTGATGTGAATTAAATTTCTACCTTTCCTCTTAAGGTCAGGGACGTGTTTTCTTCATTTGTGGGTCTCCAGGGCTTATCCGGAGCCTGGGGCATAGTAGTTAAGAGCTCAGCTGCTAACCGAAAGGTCGGGGGTTTGAATCCTCCAGGCACTCCTTGGAAACCCTATAGGGCAGTTCTGCTTTATCCTGTAGGGTTGCTATGAGTCGGAATTGAGTAGACGGCAATGGGTTTGGTTTTTTTGTTTGTTTGTTTAGGGCTTATACAGAGCTTCATAGGCATGGGTCCCGGCCAACAAGGCCCCTCCTCTGAGCTCAGAGACACCAGCATCAGTCAGCTGATGTCCCCTCCTCAGCAGTCTGAGTTTCAGCTCTGCAATGACCTTCTTCCAAGCATCTGCGTTTTAATAAGAAGTCCCTGGGTGGTGCAAACTGTTAACACATGGCCGCTAATAGGAAGGTTGGGAGTTCAAGTCCACCCAGAGGCACCTTTGAAGAAAAGGCCTAGAGATCTACTTCTGAAAAATCAGCCATTGAAAACCCTATGGCGCACAGTTCTACTCTGACACACACAGGCGATCCATGAGTCAGGGTCTACTTGACAGCAGCTGGTAATGTTTCAATAATTCCAACCTCTTCTCTTTCTTGCCATGGCCCTAGGGCTGGTAGCTGCTTCTTACAGTTGCTACCTCTACGATACCTTAGCATTCTCTTTTTTCCCTTTATCTAGGTAACAACTTTATCCCTTGTTAACAATCCGTTCTATTAAATTTGTCTGTTCCAGTAACTGGTGGTTATTCGTGGCTTTGTGTTTTTTTAACTTAAAAAGTAATCCTGGGAATTAAGTGCATTAAAGCTTCTAGAGTACAATGTTGAAGATTCGAATTTCAGTGTAAAGTGGAGAAGGCAGAAGCCAATGTCTTCATTGCCACGGTAATTTTCTCTCGTTATACCTGAACAGTCTTCAAAGAACTACGGAATTGTGTTCTTACATTAATACCTTATGGCATCACAATGAGAAAATGTTCTTTTTTTGGCTTGTATTTGTTTTATATTTATAACCTTCACCATCTACTTGGAGCATTTCTGTATTTAATAAGGCCTTGACAGGACACTGGGGCTACTACACCACAGTACTTCTCCTGAGCAGGACCTGGACTTTGTTCCCTCTTTTGTCTTTTGTTGTTGTTCGGACAAAGAAAACGGAATTAATTTTGTAGTAAAATTAATTAGAAAAACAAAAATATTAAAGAGAACAAGGTTAACTACAAAAAGAGTTGGTAACCCTTTGCCAATTTTTATTTATTTTTCTGACTTATTTCATTCAGCACAATGCTTTCAAGTTTCATCTATGTTGTAGCATGAATCAGATATTTATTTTTAATTTTTTTTATGTTTCTTTTTTAAATTGTGCTTTAGATGAAGGTTTACAGAACAAATTATTTTCTCATAAAATAATACACATTGTTTTGTGACATTGGTTGTTGATCCTGCAATATGTCAACATTCTTCTCTTCTTGACTTTGGGTTCCCCATTTCCATTCATTCAGCTTTCCTGTCCCCTCTTGCCTTCTCGTCCTTGCCCCTGGGCTGGTGTGCCCATTTAGTCTTATATACATGGTTGAGCTATGTGTATTATTGTTTTATGGGCCTGTCTAATCTTTGACTGAAGGGTAAACCTCAGGAGTGACCACAGTACAGAGATAAAAGGGTGTCCAGGGGGCATACTCTGTTTCTCCAGTCTCTGTCAGACCAGTAAGTCTAGTCCTTTTTTGTGATTTTGAACTTTGTTCTACATTTTTTTTTTTAGCTCTGTCCAGGAATCTCTATTGTGATCCCTATCAGAGCAGTCAGTGGTGGTAGCCGGGCACCATCTAGTTGTCCTGGACTCAGTCTGGTGGAGGCTGTGGTAATCATGGTCCATTAGTCTTTTGGACTAATCTTTCCCTCATGTCTTTGGTTTTCTTCATTCTCCCTTGCTCCAGATGGGGTGGGACCAGTGGTGTATCTTAGATGACCACTCATAAGCTTTTAAGACCCCAGATGCTACTCACAAAGTAGAATGTAGAACATTTTCTTTATAATCTGTTATGCCAGTTGAGCTAGATGTTCCCCGAGACCATGGTCCCCACAGCCCTCAGTCCAGTAATTTGGTCCCTCAGGGAGTTCGGATGTGTCTATGAAGCTTTTATGACTTTGCCTTGGTCAAGTTTGCTGACTTCCCCATATTTTTAAATTTTACTGTTTCATGATTTCACAAAGTCTGAGCATCATGGATGATTCTAAAATCCACTGCAGCTCTGTGATAGAGTGAATTTTATACCCGTCTAGTTAGCAGTTAGACTGTGAGGCCATTGCAAACGAGATCCTTGGAGACTAAGTTAATGGGCTTCTGTTCTTCAAGTCTGAATCCTCCCTCAAAACTACTTCCCTTTCCCTTTCAGCCAAAGGTGAAGTCCTAATGCATGGCAAACTGTATCCCCACTGAAATCCCACTCAACTACACTTGGAAAGGCAGCACAGCAGAAGGGTTACAAGCTCGAATTTTGAAGTCAGGCAGTCTTGGGCTCAAATCCTGGCTCAAGTTTCTTCATCTGTGAAATGGGGATAATATTAGAACTTATCTCATGGAATTGTTATAAAGGAGGAATGAAGTGTACATGATAGAGTGTGTGACATATAGTAAGTGCTCAATAAATGCATGTATGTATATATTATTGTCCGTGTGCATATATACACATACTTATTTATATATAGAAATACAAAGTATATATAAATTATATTAAAATTAAATATATAAAATTAAATTGAGTATATATAAATTAAATATAAAAACATGTATTTAGATATTAATATATAAAATATATTCAGATATTTAATATAACTATATATATTTATGTAAATATATAGGCACTGTACCACACCCTGCTTTTGTAGTTGGAAATTCAGAACGGAGGCACTTGTGCTTAGAATTGCTCAATTAAGAAAAATCACAAATGTTCATTATAATGATTAAAAATTAATAAGTAAATAAAGAGGGAAACCATTGTTTCAATATAATACAATGTCCTGATGGGATACTGCACATAGTTTCAAGACTTTACATCTATTAATTCATCTGATCCTCATAATAACCCTGAGGTAAATACTGTTATTATCCCTGTTTCACAGATGAGGAAACTGAGGTTAATTAACTTGTCCACAGCCAGTAAGTGGTGGAGCCAGGAATAAAATGCAAACAGTCTAGCCTATGCTCTCAACCACTGCAGAAAAAGTCCTCAGTTCAGCCTCAGCTGTAATCATGGGCATCTGTAGATCTGCAGTGTCAATATAGCAGTCACTAGCTACGTGTGGATATTTAAGTTTAAATTGATTAAAACTAAATAAAATTGAAAATTCAGTTCCTCAGTCACATTAGCCACATTTCAAGTGCTTGATAGCCACATGTGGGTACCATATTGGGCAACACAAAGAGCATTTCCATCATTGCAGAAAGTTCTACTGGACAGTGCAATTCTAGATAACTCTAGAAAGTATTAGCCAAACATAAGACTCAAACTCAACAGGCATCGCAAGAATTTCTTTTTAATGTCACTTCATAATGTTATTTGCACCTAGTACACACATACTTTGAAAAATAAGACATGCCATTATTAGTCACAACGTTAACAAAATATAAGCATCCACACAGAATATATTCTAGGGTGATTTCATTTGTCCAGCTTCTCAGAGAAACAAAGTAAATTTTTGTTGTCTATCAGCCAGTGTTGGACTAGATTTGGAATTCACAAGGCTGCAGGGCAGGCTTCCGCAGCACTACGCAAATGGCCAGCACATCTGCACAGAGCCATCAAGCCAGCTGATTTCCACCAAAAAAGCAATGGAGATGCGACTCCTCCCTTCCCTACCTACCTTTCAATTCCACACTGCAAGACCCCCAGTACGACCTGAAGTTTAGTGGGATGGCATCATCAGACCTGAGGCTTCACGGGAGGTGTTCGGGGGCCCAGTACTCATCAAAACCCATACGCACAGTCTGCAAAGAGTGTGTTCTAATCTCTGATTTGGAGACCAGAATCCCAGCCTTTAGAAAAGGGGAGCAGAGCCGGCTGGGGAGAGGAAGACCAGATAACACCTGGAAAGTTTAGACTCAAGTTGGTGACCTTGCTTTAGGTACCTGGCTGCTAGGAAGGAGACGGAGGTGTGATTTTTAATGCTGCTTGGGGTATTTAACAGGACTTGGGGATGTAAGAGCCATGAGAGAAATAAAGCATCAGGATCACGAGTGGAAAGTTGATTCCCCGTCTCCTATCCTAAGAGCAAGTGCTGCTTATCCATCTCTAGCAAACTGTTCATTTTGGGGACAAAAACCCAGAGAAGCTAGCCCAAGACAGAGTCAGAACTCTACAGACAATGGCTCCACATGACTTGTTCTTCCCGAGAACCCAAGTGACCTAGCCCTGGCTTCCAGTCAGAAAACCATTATGCAACTTTCTGGTCAGACTTCTTAAAGCTCAACTTCATAGGATGAGGCCACTGCCTCAAATCTGAAGGCGGGGGTCTGCCCAAGCACCAACAACAGGTTCCTGGGCAACACAGCCCCATGATCTGTAGCAGACTTCAAACTGCAAAGCACTTTTATCTATTCATCTCAAGAAAACTGGCTGGCCTGAGTCTAAAAGGCTCTTAATAAAAAGAGGGAGTGGAGACAGAGTTAAGGTTGGGAACACATTATGCCAAATTATTGCTCACCTGGGTTTGACACATTTAAACGGCCTTCCTGCTCACCTTCCCTTCATCTACTTTTCCCTCACTCCCAGTCTCACAAAAATCAGTTGGGAAATAAGGAAAATCTGAATAGCAGTGAAAACCTGATTTTAACTCCCCCTCTGTTTTATGTTCTTGCAGTCTTGGGGCTTAACCTTGAAAAATGACTTTTATTATCACTTCCGTATCTCCCTCCACACTGCACAAGTTCTCCTTTCTAATCAGTGTTGATCCTGCCATTCTCTCCCTCATGAGCTATCAATGGCTCCCATATGCTATAGGCATTCAAGGTCCTCCATGATTCAGCTCCTGCACGTCTTTCCATGTTCATCTCCCATGCTTTCCCTGGCTCTCCTTTCTTTGTGAAGCCCCTCTCCCCATCTCTGTGCCTTTGCAAATGCTGGTCCCTCGGCCTGGGGCATGCCCACCCTTCCTTCCAGACTTCACTCAAATCCCAGCTAGATCCACCATCTGTCTGTGAGTTGGGCTAAAGTCACCTCCAATTCTAAATAGCCTGTGCCTGGACCAGGGCCTCCATAACTATCATCTTCTGTGATCAGCCATTGCACTTCACACCTGTCACAGCCTGCCCTGCAATACACTTTGCTGGCTATTTGTGTCTCCCCCTGCTGGCCTGCAGGCAGGAACTGGATCTTATTCCTTGTAGCCTTCACCCTCCCAATGGCACATAGATAATGCCTCATAAATATTGTTGAATTGAGTTGATGCCTATCCGAAGGAAAAAAGCTCATTGTCTGTTGCCTTTTTAGGTATTTAAGACACAATACAGAAATGGCTAAAATGTTGTGCACTTATCACAGGCAACAGACCTTGAAGGTTTTGAAATCAAGGTACTAAATCAGTACTAAGCACAATCCATAAAGATTAATGATCTATCAACACTGGTCTATTAACACTGTTATCCTGCCTATTAGTTAAAGCCTGCCTGGGGAAGCAGCAAGTGTAGTTCTAGGTAGGGGACACTGGAATGGACACATGCCACAGATCCTATAGGGATTATGTGACCCGCCGAAAGAACTCCAGACAGGAAACAAGGAAGGCTAATTCCGACTTTGCAACGGTGGTACGTAGGTCCCCAGGTGTTTTAACAGACCATCTTTGTCCATCATTAGGATTTCTTTGCTTGATCCCTGGACTACCTGCATCAGAATCACCTGGGGTGCCAGTTAAGAATGCAGACTCTTGGGCCCATCCTAGTCCCACTTAACCAGAGTACCTGTGGTTGGGGTATAGGAATCTGCATTTTAAATAAACTCCCTAGGGGATCCTTATGCTCATTAAAGTTTGTGAACTTTTACCTGCCATTCTTAAAAGTATGCAGTCAGGCTTGGGAAAGACAATCATGTATGCAGCCAGAAAGAATTCAGCAGCCCCATTTCTGAGAATGCTTGCTTCCCCCAGACATACGTGCCTAGGGATGAGGACCCAAAGAGTCCTTATTGACGTCAAAACAGTTCAAGCTTGGCTTGTCCATCTACAGAGAAGAGTGTGGAGGAGAGGGCAGTGAGGCTGTCTCTGAAATAAGTATCCCCGATTTGCCCTGAGGTCCCTGGGGGGCAGGAAAAATAGTAACCTATGAAACAGGCAGATTTTCTGCCAATCCTTCTTTAAGTGATGTAATCACCTTTTGTAAGATTAAAAGGGTTTTTTTTTTTTGTTTTGTGGGCCGAAGCATCACCACCCCTGCTCCGATCCTTATTCTCTACCCTCCCTATCTCTTACCTTCCCTGTTCCTTTGGGGTGGGGGTGGAGGGGAAGCAATCAAGTAGTTCCCGGAACCAAAAACTAATTAGTTTTCAGAGTAGATCCAATATAAACACACCAGGCATAGCTTCATTGGAAGAGCACAGACAACTGGAAGGCAGAATTTCACTTCGGGTACATTTCCTACATGTGAATGATAGAATGTTCCACCCAGGGTTGGCCCACTATGCCACGTGAAGGTTACATGAATGTCATCACAAATGCAAAAACATGAGTGTGATGGGCAGAGATCCGCCATACACTCAAGGTGGAGGAAGACTAGATTTAGAGGTCCCCAGCCTTTCGCTGGATCTGAAAAATGAGAGCAGAATCTCTGCCTTGCTTTAGCTCTGAAGGATGTGGCAGCCTTTAGTCACTGACCGGGGAAGCTCGGTTGCCATCCTCAAGGATGCTTTCCACATCCCGTTGGGCTAAACCAGGCAGAGGCTGGGTTCCATGCTGCCACCTGGAATACTGCTTCCCTTCTTCCCACTCCCCACTCCCCACCATTTGAAATTTTCAGACCAAGATAAATGTATCCTTTACCAGAGACAAAGGCCTTCCAAGATTCCTTGTCTATAGAGTTCTCAGTTTAAAAAAGTAAGACTTGAAAGGCAAGTTCTAGAAGGAAGGGTTGAACCACTGTCGGCATGGCTTAAACAGTTATAAATCTAGGAAAGGTAAGTCTTGTCAAGGTAGGCTCATTCCTTCTTGGTGTGCTCCAGGACTCGGTAGGGAACTCCGGAGGCAATTCTGGAGCCATGTTCTTCTTGCATGACGGGCAGTGTGGCAGGAGCATAGATCTCAGAAATGCTGTCGTTGTTCTCCAGGGCCCCGTAGGAAAAAGAAGCTTTGAGGTCGGGCTGGACTGCCATCCCCTTGTCATGCATGTTCTGCATACCTGAAATGAAATCCATTTTCCCCAAATGATCATGAGGTGAGGGGGCCAAAGGAGGCTGTATCTTCCTCTATCCCGCCATAGACTAATTATAGTGCTCAGGAGCTAATCATGTGCATTGTCAATTTCCCGAATGCTTTAGATTTAAAAGAGAACACCCATAAATATACACTAGAAATATTACAGTTGCTAAGCAACAGGGATGAATGTTCAGGAAATATGCACACAGACCAGCCACTATCAAAAGAAACCATGAGTTGGCCTAGAATGTGGTGGCAATGTCTGTTTGGGCCAAAGGTGAAGGCGAATTGGGGCTGTGTTTTGAACGTGGTAGATGCCAACACTTTGCTGCTGATATTAAATCAGAATCTAGGGAAAACTTCATGATACTGTTGAGGAAAGACAGATGCATCATGATGCTCAGAGAGTATTTTGACCTTTAACATTCACATCCCTGACCCACGGGCATGTATAGGGTACGTACGATTTTAAAGAAAAAATTTATTACTGAATAAAGCATTAAACCAAAATGTGATACATCACAGGCAATCTGCTATTGCCAAATGGTGTGATTTTGCTTATTACTTCTGGGTTCATCAGTGTTGGATTTCTGCTTACTTTGGAGGGCAAAGACTTTAATCTTTAATTCCTTTAACTTTATTCTACAATTCTCCTATGTCAGGTGGGACCTGGTTAGCTTTGAGGCCAACTCTTTTCCTGCCTGGGAATTAAGACCCTCCAGATTCTCCTGTCCCCAGGCTGAGTCCTAAGAAATGAAAAGCAAAGTGTCTTCCACAAAACTATGATGATGATAACAGCTGACGTCTGCCTGCATACATGCCCCAGGCACTGGGCTGAGCACTTTAAATAGTGATAACAACAACAGCAGTAATAATGATAAGTAACGTGTATTGAGTATTCAGTTGGTGTGGGCACTGCTCTGAACATTTTTACAGTTTTCTCTCATTTGATCCTCAAGCCAACCAACGAGAAAAATGAGGTGGCTGGTGGTTAATCAGAGGTCCCTGGGTGGCACAATCAGTTAAGTGCTCAACTACTAACCGAAAGGTTGGCAGTTCGAACCCACCCAGTGGTTAGTTGGAAGAAAGACCTGGTGATCTGCTTCTGAAAGATCACAGCCTTGAAAATGCTATAGAGCACAGTTCTACTCCATACTCATGGGATTGCCATGAGTTGGAGCCGACTCGACAGGAACTGGTTGGTTAAAACTCTGTGGTTTGGATTTTTTTTTTTTTTTTGGCTGAGGTCACACAGCTAGTAAGTGGCAATGCCAAGGTTAAAACCCAGGTGGTTTAAACTCCAAAGCTCATACTCTTTAACTAGAATGCTGTGTGGCCTTCCTGTACCCCTGCATTTAATCCCCAAACAATCCCGTGACAGAGGTTCTATTATTGTCATTTTCCAGATAAGAAAACAGATTCAGAGAGGTGAAGTAACCTGCTCAAGGTCACACAGCTAGTGAGAGCCAGAGCTGGGATCAGATGCTTATACTCTCATCCACTCTGCAAATGGCTTAGGAAGAACCTGTCAATGGAAGGCCCTTTGCCTCCATATTGCACAAGCCTTATCTGATGGTCATTTGAAGGGCATGATACAAGAGTCTGGAGTCCCTGGGTAAAGCGAACTGTTAACAAGCTCGGCTGCTAACCGAAAGATGGGAGGTTTGTGTTTACCCAGAGGTGCCTCAGAAGAAAGGCCTGGTGATCTACTTCTGAAAAAAATTGACCATTGAAAACCCTATGGAGCACAGTTCTACTCTGCACACATGGGGTTGCCATGAGTCAGAGTCGACTTGACGGTTGAAGAGTCTGTTGTTTAGATTTTTTTGGGGAGTGGGGTGCTGAGGGGTGCCTGGCCGTCAAGGGAAGAAAGTTAACTTACCAGTCAGGATTTAACTTATGGATTCTGTTAATATCCTCCAGCCAAAGACCACTAGGAATATACCTATACCATTGCCATCAACTTGATTCCGACTCATAGTGACCCAATAGGACAGAGTAGAACTGCCCCATAGTTTCCAAAGAGTGCCTGGCGGATTTGAACTGCCGACTTTTTGGTTAGCACTGCAGTACTTAACCGCTACGCCACCAGGGTTTCCGGAATATACCTATAGTGGAATAAATTTGGTTTTATTGACTCATTATAGTGAGGAAGATGTACACCATGAGGAAGCGTGGGTATCTCATAAAGAGGGTATTAAACGAACTTACGGGATTTGGGCTTGTGTTAGTTGATTATGGAGAGAGTTCAAGGAAGTGAGGCTTTGTTTTGAATTAGATGCTATCAGGATGTGGTGACAATTCTATTAATTGAAGGATCTTTATACATCTTATCTAGAAAGAAGGAAGGCTGGACTGAGACCAAAGCTGTGATTGGAAGAAACAGCACCAAAAAAAAAACAAAAACAAAAACTCCCATTGCCATCGAGTCGATTCTGACTCATAGCAACCCTATAGGACAGAGTAGAAATGCCCCATACGGTTTCCAAGGAGCACCTGGTGGATTCGAACTGCCAGCCCTTTGGTTAGCAGTCATAGCTCTTAACCACTACGCCACCAGGGTTTCTGAAGAAACAGCAGTCACTCATATCAACCAGGATAAGGGAATGACTGGTCATTTTTGTGGTTTGGACCATGTTTACGTTTTGTCTGTGTTTAGACATGATTACAGAGTGGTCTTTTTTGGATTTTGATCCATTACGGTCACAGAGTGGCCTTGGCTGATGTTGGTGATCTGTGGAACTGTTTATGTTCAACCAGAGAACACCAAGGCCCAGCTGTGAGTGCCAAGCCAGCTCTCAGCTATCAGGGGCTGCTTTTCTGTTTCTCATTTTCTAGGAGTCTTTCAGGTGCTAGAATTATTTAAAGCTTCTCCCAATTCCATGGAATGAAATTTTGGAATTTGAATGCCACCTGAACAGCAACTACTGCTCTGTTGCGAAGCTATCAATCTAGGTAGGCCAAAAGCAAGGTCCTGATGCCAAGCAGAACCAAGTGGCTAGAAAAGCAACTCTGTTTAAGCAGAGATTATGCAGCAGTTCTACTGTTCATCTCCTACCTGTCATTAGGTCAAATAAGTATTTGAAATTTTCATTTTTTTAAATCTAAAGGGAAACAAAACCAAATTTAGCCAGGCATCTACCATGTCCCAGACACTGAACCAGGGGCCTTTGCACATATTATCCCACGACCCTGCAAGAAGGAATCCCAATTTACATGTGAGGATGACAGGCCTTGGGAGGTCCCGGCATGTACCCAAGGTCACACAGTGGGTAGGAGATAGAACTGGGACTTGAACCCACATCTATCTGAACTCCAAACCCAAGCTCTTCATAGTACAGAACACCTGTTTAATCAGAGGTGTTCCAACAAGCCACAATAATAGGGCAGGGTCTCCTTTCTTCAACATCTGACTTCCCCACTGGTCACAAGGTACAAAGAGAAAGCTGAGAGCCACATCCACAAACAGACTACAGAATGTTGATATCTTAGGTTACCTTAGGTTACCTTCTAAGTCCCACCAGAGAATACATCTTTATATATGTATATACAAATATTTATACATATATATATGTACACACACACATACATATTTTATAAACACAAACACATACCACATACTTGCATACACACACAGAGTTGACACCTCACCTATCTGGATTTCAGCTATCCAGCGCCCTCATCTATCCGGAACACAGCCGAGAAACAAGGAAGTAAGCAAAAAAGGCATCTGAGCAGCCAGATTAGATGTTTAAAAAGTTCATGCACTAAAGCTCATGCACTTAACTCCTAGGAGACACCATAGGTTCCCAACTCAGACCTCATTTATTTTGATTTTACATACACTTCTAACAAGTTGGGTCAGATAAGAAGATTGACATGGAGCAGTCTGGTAACAGCAAGAATGACAGACAACAGCTTAATAGCAAGAGATGAGGAAATAATAAAAAGTAGACACATAAACCCTGGGGCCATTTAATGTAGGGGCACCTCAGTCAGCCCTGAGAACAACCTGCATCAAAATGGCAGCAATACCGTCTAAAAACTGCCCTTTATTAAGAAGTACCCTATGGCATCCATGTGTTTACATTTTGTTCATTAGACTGCGTTAACGAAGGGTGAGGCATAATGTTTTGGAAAGAGTTCCACCTTATGCGTTTAAAATAAAAACTGATTTTGTGCTGAAGAGTGAAAGGCAGCGGTCAATAGGAACCTGCAGAATTTAAGCCTGCAAATCTAGAAGGGGTCAACTCGATGTCATAACTTTTCTAAATGTGAGTCCCTTTGGGCTGGACAGGCACTCTCCAGTTCTCCACAGGCCTCACCACGCCCTATTGTGCTTCACGCATTTATATCACTGTCAGAGCTTGAAGGCATTTGAGTTTGGGCCCCTCAGTGTGAGCCCTTAGCTCCCTGGGAAATTAGGCTTTACAGAACAATCCACTCCCTTGTAAATTCCAAGGAGTAGGGTTATAGTATTTGAATTTCATTCATCCTATTTAACTCCCCTCTCTGAGCATTTCATTCCAGCTACATGAATGGGTTTTCTCTTTTGTAGGCATGAAGCCTGGTGCTGCAGAGCATAATTATATCCAGGGTGAATCAGGATTTTCCTTAAAAGATCCTGAAACAGACATGGGAGCTGTCAAGAAGTGCTCAAAGCCAACCAGGTGCCTTAGTGATAGCCCTGCTTCTACACACCGAGATTTAAAAAAAAAAAAAAAAAAAAAAAAAGACAGTGAGAGAACAGTCACACCATAACGGCACAGCACACCTTCCCAGTACCAAGCCCGAGGGTCGGTTGTCTGCTTTGAAACAGGAAGTAGCAGTCATTCTATATGGATGGGCTGGCCAGCTGGGCACAGGGGGTTTGAACGTTACCTGGCATGGCATCCATGGAAATATAGGGCTCAAATGGAATGGCCTTCTTCCTGTTACGTGTGATTAAGAAGACACCCAAGAATGCAATGAGGCACCTAAAGAACAGAGATAAAGGAGGAAGAGAAAGAAGGTCAGGAATGAGGTCGGGGAGGGACACTTTCAAGCCCAAGTGGCGAGGAAAAGTACAAAGAAGACTTGTAGGCTGCGGAGGAGGGTTCATCGCCAAGTTGATCTTAGAGGCTGCTGTGCCTGAGATCAGAAGGGAGCAGCCCACGGAGCACCATAACCCTGCAGCTCTGCACAAGCCCTAATCAGAATACATTAGATTTTCCGTGGCAAAACTGTCAAGGTTCTTCACTTTTACCAAGTCAGTAGTCTCTGAACTTTGCCTTAAACAGTGTTTTGTTTTACTATGGGTGATGGCTGCACAACATGATTAATGTAACTGATATCACTAACTTGTACACCTGAAAAATGTGGAATTGGCAAATGTTTATATATATTTTTGCAACTACTAAAAAAAAAAAAGAAAAAAAAAACCCAACCTTATGGAGCATAGTTTTACTCTGACACACATGGGGTCGCCGTGAGTCAGAGACAAATAGATGGCAACTGGTTTTTGGTTCTGCTACTAAAAAAAAAAGTTATGTTTACACTATGCTACAGTCTATTAAGTGTGCAATAGCATTTTGTCTAAAAAAAAATATATATATATACATTTTTTTAATTAAAAATTCTGTAAGCCTAAATTCAATTAACGCAGAAGTATAGAAAGCAAAAATTAGTAAAAATTGGAAAGGACTGTACTCTTCCCCATCCCAATCCTCAAGGTGGGTGTATATTCTCTTAGAATTTTTTTTTCCCTCTTGTCTCTCCCTAGTTTCTATAAACAAGCACACTTTCTAAAAATTGAGATACAATTTATATGCAGTAAAATGCACAAACCCTATAGCTTGATATATTTCACCTGTGCATAGCTCAGGTAATCACTACCCAGGTTAAGACAGAAATCATTTCTATATTCCCAGAACGCGTCCTTGTGCCCAAACCCACGCCAACCCATTCCCAGAGATAACCACTATCTGATTAGATTTGCCTGTTCTTGAACTTTTTAACTTCCCACTCCCCCCTCCTCACATCTCCTGGTAACCACTAATCTTCGTTTCGATGGATTTACCTATTCTAGATATTTCTTATAATGAGATCATACAATATTTGTCTTTTTGTGTTTGGCTTATTTCACTCAGCATAATGCTTCCAAGGTTCACCCATGTTGTAGCATGTATCAGAACTTCATTTCTCTTCATAGGTAAATAATACTCCATTGAATGGGTAGATTACATTTTGTTTATCCATTCATATGTGGATGGGCTGTTTCCACCTTTTGGCTATTGTTGTTCTTGAACTTTTTGTAAGTTAAATCATACAGTATGTATTCTGTTGTGTCTGGCTTCTTTCACTGACAAAATGTTTATGATTCATCCATTTTAGTATGTGTATTAGTAGTTCACTGTTTTTAATTGTTGGGTAGAATTCCATTGTCTGAATATACTACAATTTGTTTTTCTACTCTCCCGTTGATGGACATTCGTGTCTGTTAAAATAAAGTTATTAAAAATATTCATGTACAAGTCATTATGCCAACAAATGTATTCATTTCTTTAGGGTATATACCTAGAAGCAGAATTGCTGGATCATAAGGTAGGCCATACTTAAAAAGAAAAGTTTGTAAATTTTTTTCAATTTAATATATCCTTGACAGGGTTCTATGTGAGTACCTCTAGATTGTCCTCAGTTTTTCAAAATGGCAGCATGCTACTTCATTATAGGATATGTTGTTGTTGTTGTTGTGTGCTGTCCAGTCATTCCTACTCACAGCGACCCTATGTACAACAAAACGAAACACTGCCCGGTCCTGAGCCATCCTCACAATCATTGTTATGCCTGAGCCCATTGTTGCAGCCACTGTATCAATCCATCTCTTTGAGGGACTTCTTTTTCACTGACCCTCTACTTTACCAAGCATGATGTCCTTCTCCAGGGAATGATCACTCCTGATAACATGTCCAAAGCATGTGAGATGAAGTCTTGCCATCCTTGCTTCTACTGAGCACTCTAGCTGTACTTCTTCCAAGAAAGATTTGTTCGTTCTTTTGGCAGTCCACGGTATAGTCAATATTCTTTGCCAACGCCATAATTCAAAGGCATCAATTCTCCTTTGGTCTCCCTGATTCACTGTCCAGCTTTCACGTGCATATGAGGCAATTGAAAACACCACGGCTTGGGTCAGGTGCACCTTACTCCTTAAAGGGACATTTTTGCTTTTCAACACTTTAAAGAGATCTTTTGCAGATTTGTCCAATGCAATGCGTTGATTTTTGACTGCTACTTCCATGGGTGTTGACTGTGGATCGAAGTAAAATGAAATCTTTGACAACTTCAATCTTTTCTCCGTTTATCATGATGTTGCTTATTAGTCCAGTTGTGAGGATTTTTGTTTTATGTTGAGGTGTAATCCATACTGACGGCTGTGGTCTTTGATCCTCATCAGTAGGTACTTCAAGTCCTCTTCACTTTCAGCAAGCATGGTTGTGTCATCTGCATATCACAGTTTGTTAATGAGTCTTCCTCTAATCCTGATGCTACGTTCTTCTTCATACAGTCCAGCTTCTCAGATTATTTGCTCACCATAGATTGAATAAGTATGATCAAAGGATACAACCCTGATGCACACCTTTCTTAACTTTAAACCACACAGTATCCCCTTGTTCTGTTTGAACGAACTGTTTAATCATATGCAACCTCCTGAAATGGCTGAATGTCAACCAATTCTTTTTGGTACAGTGACTTTGTGTATTCCTTCTGTCTTCTTTTGATGATTCCTGCATCATTCAATATTTTCCCCACGGAATCTTTCAGTACTGCAACTGAAGGCTTGAATTTTTTCTTCAGTTCTTTCAACTTGAGAAATGCTGAGCGTGGTCTTCCCTTTTGGTTTTCAATTTCCAGGTATTTGCACATTTCATTATAATACTTTACTTTGTCATCTCGAGCTGCCCTTTGAAATGTTCTGTTCGGCTCTTTTACTTTATAACTTCTTCCTTTCACTTCACCTACTCTACGTTTAAGAGCAACTTTCAGAGTCTCTTCTGACATCCATTTTGGTCTTCTCTTTCTGCTCTTTTTAATGACCTCCTGCTTTCTTCATGTATGATGTCCTTGAAGTCATTCTACAACTCATTTGGTCTTTGGTCATTAGCATTCAATGAGTCAAATCTATTCTTGACATGGTTTCTAAATTTAGGTGGATATACTCAAGGTAATACTTTGGCTCTCATGGACTTGTTCTAACTTTCTTCAACTTCAACTTGAACTTGCATATGAGCAAGTGATGGTCTGTTTCACAGTTGGCCCCTGGCCTTGTTCTGACTGATGATATTGAGCTTCTCCATAGCCTCTTTCCACAGATGTCGTCAATTTGATTTCTGTGTATTCCACCTGGCAAGGTCCACGTGTATAGTCGCCGTTTACATTGCTGAAAAAAGGTATTTGCAATGAGTAAGTTGCTGGTCTTGCAAAATTCTATCATGCAATCTCCAGCAGCGTTTCTATTACCAAGGCCATATTTTCCAACTACTGATTCTTCTTCGTTTCCAACTTTTGTATTCCAATTGCCAGTAATTATCAATGTGTCTTAATTACATGTCTGATCAATTTCAGACAGTAGAAGTTGGTAAAATCTTCAATTTCCTCATCTTTGGCCTTAGTGGTGTTGGCAGGTAAATCTGAATAACAGTCGTATTAACTGGTCTTCTTTGTAGGCGTATGACACTATCCTATCACCGACAGCGTTGTACTTCAGGATAGATCTTGAAATGTTCGTTTTGATGATGAACAAGATGCCATTCCTCTTCAATTTGTCATTCCTGGTGTCATGGATTGAACCGTGTCCCCCAAATATCTGTAAACATGGCTAGGCATTGATTCCCAGTATTGTGTGATTGTTCACCATTATGTCATCTGATGTGATTTTCCTATGTGTTGTGAATCCTACCTCTATGATATCAAAGAGGTAGGATTACAGGTAGTTATGTTAATGATGCAGGACTCAGTCTACAAGATTAGGTTGTGTCTTTAGTCAATCTCTTTTGAGATATAAAAGAGAGAAGCAAGCAGAGAGACAGGTGGACCTCATACCACCAAGAAACAAGAGCTAGGAGAATAGTGTGTTCTTTGGACCTGAGTCCCTGGGCTGAGAAGCTCCTTGACCGGAGAAGATTCACAAGGACCTTCTGCCAGAGCTGACAGAGAGAGAAAGCCTTTCCCTGGAGCTAGCACCCTGAATTTGGACTTGTAGCCTCCTAGACTGTGACAGAATAAATTTCTCTTTGTTAAAGCCATCCACTTGTAGTATTTCTGTTACAGCAGCACTAGATAACTAAGACACTTGGCATAGGAGACCATATGATTGTCTGATTCAAAATGGCCAATACCAGTCCATTTCAGCTCACTAATGCCTAGGATATCAATGTTTATGTGTTCCATTCCATTTTTGATGACTTCCAGTTTTCCTAGATTCATACTTTGTACATTCCACATTCCGATTATTAATGAATGTTTGCAACTGTTTCTTCTCATTTTGAGTCATGTCACATCAGCAGATGAAGGTCTCAAAAGCTTCACTCCATCCACATCATGAAGGTTGACTGTACTTTGAGGAGGCAGCTCTTCCCCAGTTGTATTTTGAGTACCTTCCAACCTGAGGGGCTCATCTTCTGGCACCATATTAGACAATGTTCTGCTGCTATTTATAAGGTTTTCATTGGCCAATTTTTTCAGAAGTAGACTGCCAGGTCCTTCTTCCTAGTCTGTGTTAGTCTAGAAGCTCAGTTGAAACCTTTCCACCAAGGGTGACCCTGCTGTTATTTGAAATACTGGCGGCAAAGCTTCCAGTATCACAGCAACACACAAGCCACCACAGTATGACAGACAGACAGACCCATGGTGGATTATAGGATACACCATAATTTATTTAACCTGTGTTCCACCATTGGGCATTTAGGTTGCTTCCAGTTCTTTGCTAATACAAATTTTAAAAGTAATACACAGCCTTGTAATGTGTCTTTGTGTCATCATTCAAGTATTTTTCCCAAGATAAACGATTAAAAATGGAATTCTGGCTCAAAAAGTATGCTCACTTAAACTTTTTACTAATATTCCCAAATTGTCCTCCCACATTAAAGTGCTGTTTAGAGAGTGGCAAAGTGCTGGTCTCATCACCCTCTTGCTAACGTGGAATATTACCAATCCTACTATTTTTGCAAGATGAGGTGGGAGAAAGGGTATCTTACGTAGCTTTAATATGCATTTCTTTGATCTGAAGTGAGGTTGAGAGTCTTTTCATTTGTCAAATGTGATGTTTCAGAGATGACTAGGAGCCTAAAACCCAAAAGAGAAGGAGATAAAGCCCTTCTGGAAGAGATGCTCACCTCTGGAGACAAAGCTCTAAATCCCAGCAGTCCACCTGGCTTTAAAGGATTGTCTGAGCGTTTGAAGCAATAATGGGGAAAGAGAGGCAACCTCATGGAATTCCGCACACAATGCCCTGGGGCCAGAGGGCAGGAGGTGACTCACCCTAGTGCAAACATGCAGATGTGCAGCACGTCCTCCCTGATGAAGTCCAGGTAAAATATTGCGCCTGCAGCAGCACATAATAGAAAACACAGGTCAGTCGTTTTCAAATCACTCACTTGCCAGTCTGTCTAGGATTTGGCTACACTCTCCTCCCTGCAGCAGAACCAAAATGATCAAAAATATTATGACTGTGTCTGCTAAAAATATTAGAAGAATGGAGTAAAAGCCATTTGGGAGAACAGACTTTTTCTTTCCCCCAGGCTCCTTCTTATCTACATCTTTCTTTTTAATTTTTTAAACCTTTTATTTTGAAATAATTTTAGACTCACAAAAATAATAAGAGTTCCCATGTGGCCTTCACCCAGCTTACCCCAATGATAATATCAAAACCAGGAAACTGACAGTGAAACAATACTCTTAACTAAACTACAGACCTTACTCACCAGATTTTACTGGCACTCATTTTCCCTTATCCTTCTTAAGATGGATAAATAAGTCTTCATGTTTAAGTGGTTAGCTTTCTAACTTCAGGTGGCCAGCAGATGGCAAGCCTGCAGGTCCACTCCCATGACGCAGAGTGACATGGGCCTGCCGCGCTCTCCCTGAAGCCAGCCTCTCTCTGGAATCATTTCATCTCCACGGGCCGCATGCTCTTGCCTAAGGTCCTGATTCCCTGCCTCAACTTCCGTTTCTGATTCAAGTGGGGTGCTTGCTATTCCTTTTAAACTTGAATGGCCTTCACTCTTCTTGACTGTGGTTTTTGACCATGACTTGAATCACAGCATTAGGTTAACTTCTGGCTACTCTGGGTCAATGCCCCACCCAACCCCTGGTACTGTTCACAGCACTGGCCCTGGAAAACCTGTGTGCCCTGCTTGTTCCTACCTCTGTGAATGGGAATTGGGCACCACTTGTCTAAAGTGCAGTGTAAAGCAAATGGCTATACAGCCAGACCTTCTTCAAAGGGAGGCACACTGGTTCTCTTTAGCCTTTTTACTCTGAAGTTTTAGTCATCACTACCATTAAAAACAAAACAAAACAATCAATAGAGGGTCCCAGACAGAGCAGGAAAAAAATGTAGAACAAAATTCAAATTCACACACACACACAAAAAGACCAGGCTTGCTGGTCTGACAGAGACTGGAGAAACCCCAAGAGGATGGCCCCCAGACACCTTTTAACTCAGTACTGAAGTCACTCCTGAGATTCAGCCTTCAGCCAAAGGTTAGACAGGGCTATAGGGCCAGTGATAACACACGTGAGGAATGTGCTAAGAAAAAATAAAAAGAAACAAAAGAAAAAGACTCTTTAATATGCCTGCAACCTCTGAAGCCACCTCAGAAAGAAAACTTGTAAAAAATTAGGAGTGAAGTAAAAGAAAGGGGAATAGAATTAAAAATGATTGCTTACGAGAACCTATTTTGTTGCAGATACTTCACGTACTCGTGATCTCTGATAACTATACAGAAGAAATTCATAGCCACTTGGTCACTGGGGACTGTGGAGCTAGCAGATAGTGCCAAAAATTGTTAAAGAAACCTTGTCCAGGACCCACAAGACGTATGGAGTAGGAGACACCAGGATTGTACTTACTGCAATTCTAGGAGGTAAGTGTTATCAATCTCATTTTATGAATGTGGAATTGAGGCTCAGAGAGGTTAAGCGGTTTTCCCAGAGCTTTACAACAAGTAAGTATCAGTGCTGGGATGCAAACCTAGGCCTGTCTGGCTCTAAAGCCTGCACTTTCTTCATGAAACCATGTGCAGAACAAGTCAGCAGAATTGGCCTACTGACCTCCCCTTCACACTTGGCTAACGTCCCTGATAGTTCCTGATAGTAATGTAGAAGATAGAGATCTAGCAATCGGCCACCCTTACCTGCTGTGATAGCAACAGTTGTGGATAGAATGTAGCCCACACTGGCGATCAAAGAGGAGTCATACATCTGTGAGGCTTGACTCAGAAACCTTCAATACAAAAGCGCTCAGGTCAGTGGGCTGTCGGGGATGTCAGAAAGGTGAACCCTGACGATGGGAGACTTTGGTTTGAAATATGAAGATGTGCACGAAGGAACACTGCTTGGATTTATAAAAGTGCCACCCTCGTTACAGGGCACCATGTATTTCCGGGCCTGGGACCCATACTGCTTCCATTTTACCCCTAGACATACAGACCAAGGCCCATTCGCATCCCCAAGTGGGCCATGCCTTCCTTGTCTCACTCCTTTGGCCATAGGATCTTATCACCTGAAATGCCCCTCTTCCTTGCATTCCTACCCTACTTAAGAGCCATGCCTGGTCTCTTACACACACCAAGTAACTCTTCTGGCATGTAACACATTCTGTCTAATGCTGTTATTATTTTTTTAAACAGATTTTCTTAATTAAAAAATAACATGATTAAGGTAATAAATATACAAAAAAGGGAGAAGATTAGTTGTTCCTAATCTCTCTATCTAGAGATAAGCACCATCATCTTTTAGGAATGTATTCTTTGTCTTTTCTTTGAGTAGCATTTTAGTTATCATTGTATAGTTGCTGACACCATAATACCTTGACATTCAGGACTTACTATTAAATTGTAATTGTCTGTTTACCAGGTTGCTCCACTCCCCCACCCCCTCCCCCCACATCACTACTTCCAGGGCTGGGGTGGCTCGAGGGCAGTGATTACTGTTGATCATCTCTGTGTCCTGAGGGCCCAGCACACAGGAGGCCCTCAGTGAAAGTGTGCTGAATGGGTGAAGGAGAAGCTCCCAGGAGGTGGGCGGGGGCATCTGGTCATCTTTGTAAACTTAGCAGTGCTTGGCACAGAGCCTTGAACTGCCAGGGGCTCGGTGGGGATGACTGGAATTGTTGTAGTAGGACTAAAAAAATTATCATCAAAGTAATAATATAATAACAATAATCATAAAAGAAGCTAATATTTACTGAAGGTTATCCCGGGGACTGGGCTGAGAGCTTTATGTGGCTCTGCTTAGGCAGGGACTGATATTATCTTTGTCTGCAGATGAAGATCTGAGTCTTAGAGAAGCCAGGTAGGAGGCAGTAGAGCACAGCGGTGAGCGGCATGGGCTGGGAGCCAGACGCTTGGATTCAAATCTCAGCACTGCCACTGCCTAGGCTCTTAACCTCTCTGCTTCAGTTCCTCATATGCGAACTGAGGATGATACATCTACTTCAGAGGGGTGTTGTGAGGGATCAAACGAGTTAGGTCATGTGGAGTGCTGAGAAAAGAGCCTGGCTCATACTGAGCACCCAGTCAATTGCAGTTACCCCTGTGTTCCTCAAGGCCACGTAGCTTGCTGATGGGGAAGCTGGGCCTGAGTGCCGGGCCTGATCCTCAGGGTCATTCAGCATCACACACTATGCTATGCAAGTCTCCCGTACCCACGCAAGTATGTCACATACAATATTCACAGAGCACCTACTCCGCTCCAGGCCCCCTGCTGGGCACTGGGGCACAGGCCCTGCCTCTGGGAGTTCCTGCCCAGTGAGACAGACTGGTTGTAATCCCCTCTCCTCTGCACAGCTGGACCTCAGTATTGCTGCTTTTTACTTAACTCATGCTGAGAGAAACAGTCACCTTGCTCGTCTACTTGGGAAGATTTGAGCGAGACTGCTGGAGGACAAGGTAGGTCAACTCATTGTGATAGTATGGCTTCTTCTGAGGTCCCTGAAATGGACACCTGCCTTGGAGAAAATGGGGAACGAGGCTGCTTCTGATACTGTATTCTCATGTTTTAAAGCAGAGGGAAAAAACACATGCAATCCAGGCTTCCTCTTTCAAGTGGCACAAACCCCTGCCTGTTACAATTCAGCAAATTAGCAACTCCCCTCCCCACAGTGGATGCCACGCCCTGGTGGTACACTTCATCTGCATGTTCAAAAGCAAATGGAACTAGGCCCAGAAAATGGAAGAGACCCGCCAAAGGAGGTCCAGCAGGAAAAGAATTTGCAACTCACGCGGCTTGGTAAACAGCAGTGGACACCATGCACACAAACATCACATAGAAGATGGGGTAGTCAAGCTGGAGATTGCCTTGTATCGACAGTACTAGCATCCCGGCCACAGCCTTCACCGTCACGACTGTCATTGAGCCTGCAAACAAGGGCATGTGGGAGCCTCAGGGACACTGATCAAGTTAGACCCTGAAAGTCAGTTTACAACCCCAAAGAACCTGCTGAAAAAGACAAGGGAACATCAGCAGATTCACCCCCATGATTTAAACAGTCAGAAGATGCTGTTGGTACTGGATCCTTTGTACTTTTCCCATGGATTGCCCATTATCTGTGCTAATACATCAAAGAAGAGAGGAAAGCAAAGCACTGACAGGTCAGTCCCAAATGTCACTTCTAAACTCTACCAAGAAAGGGCAGTAACTGCAGGTCTCTGAGTCCTGGAGTGCCTAGCACAGTGCCTGGAACGTGGTGGGATTCAAAACAATCTGTAAATGGATAAATGAACTTCTTTACAGTATCACTCTTGTGGCAATCACAAGAAAAATACACGATGTGTAAAGATCTAGTGTTTTTTCTTTTTAAATGCTCACTCACTTGCATTTTTAGAAATATTTCTTGAAACCAGAGGTGTCCAAATGTTTTAGAATGCACACCCCTATGCTATGTGCATACATTTCCAATATACGTGTGCTTATCTTAAAATTATATTCATGTAATACTGTACTTATATGGTGTGCACATTATAAAATATATGCAGGAAATATAACTTAAAACGTAGAGATAAAAATAAATTAAGTTCTAGTGATGGTTGAACAACATGATGAATGTAATTAATGTCACTGAACTGTACATGTGGAGACTGTAGAAATGGCTAACGTTTTGTTACCTATATATTTACTACAATAAAAAGAAAAAAATAAGTAGTAATATTTTATTTCCATACACTCCAGTGGAAAGGAGCCTTGGTGGTGCAAATGGTTAAGAACTCAGATGCTAACTGAAAGGTTGGTAGTTCGAACCTACCCAGCTGCTCCACAGGAGAAAGACCTGGTGATCTGCTTCCATAAAGATTACAACCAAGAAAACCCTATGGGGCAGTTCTACTCTGTCACATGGGTCGCTATGAGTCAGAATTCACTTGATAGCACCCAACAACAAGAATAACAACAACTCTGCAGTAGAGCACCTTGCTCACCTCACTTTAGAGACACTGTTTTACCCAATGGTACAGAAATGACTTTTAATTGCAACTTGTTGACACCTCTGTCAAAATAGGAGTTAAAACAAACACTCCTCCAAGAATGGAACAAATTAAACCCCTGTTTCGACTGCACTGCTCTGCTTTCCTATTTTTTTCAGCTTCCACTTATTTTGCATTCTCCTGCCAACAGCATATCATACACAGTGGCTTCCAGGCCCCTCTGTTTAGCTGGGACAACAGCTACTTCTGCTGTGGTTTTCAAACACTGAGAGCCACTTAAGGCAAGCACTTTCATCAGGCACTCTTTGTTAGTGAGAAGGGGATAAAAGGGAACCAGTCAGCATGTCTCAGCACCTTCTGCCCTCCCTACTCACAAGAAGAAAATGTTTTGGGACCTTGATTCTCCCATTCCACTTTGAAAATAAAAGCACCAAGGAAGGAAATACTGATACATGCTTACAACATGGATAAACCACAAAAATTATGCTAAGTGAAAGAAGCCAGTCACAGAGGACCACACATTATATTATTCCATTCATATGAAATGTCTAGAATAGGCAAATCTATAGAGACAGAAAGTAGTTTAGTGGTTGCCAGGGGCTTGGCGAAGGAGCCCTGGTGGCACAATGGTTAAGCATTCAGCTGCTAACTGTAATGTCAGTGGTTTGAACCCATGAGCTGTTCCACAGAAGAAAAGACCTGGTGATCTGCTCCTGTAAAGGTTATAGCCTTGGAAACCCTGTGTGGCAGTTCTACTCTCTCCCATAGGGTCACTATGAGTCGGAATTGACTCGATGGCACACAACAACAACCACAGGGGCTTGAGGATAGGACAGCAGGGGTGGGGAATAGGGAGTGACTGCTGATGGGTACAAAGTTTCTTTTTAGAGTGATGAAAATGTCCTAAGATTATAATGATGGTTACAATCTTACAACTCTGAATATACTAAAAGCTAACGAATTGCTTACTTTAAATGGGTGAATTTTATGGTATAAAAATTATATCTCAATATAGCTCTTTGAAAAAAAAAATGATCAAACTCTGTCCTACAGTGATACATATCTGTGTGGCTTTATTACCTGCAGCTGGGATCAAGGTTCACCCTGGGAAGGACAGAAGAGAAATAACATGAATTGGGTACTTGTGTTCATCTCATTTAATCCCTCTACCTATCATGTGGTGGGGACAGTGGTGGTTCAGAGGTAGAATTCTCACCTTCCGTGCTGCAGACCTGGATTTGATTCTCGGCCAATGCACCTCATGTGTAACCACCACCCATCTGTCAGTGGAGGCCTGCATGTTGCTCTGATGCTGAACAGGTTTCAGCGGAGCTTCCAGACTAAGATGAACTAGGAAAAAAGGCCTGGTGACCTATTTCCAAAAATCAGCCAGTGAAAACCCTATGGATCACAGCAGTCTGATCCGCAACCGATCATGGGGATGGCACAGGACTAGGCAGCATTTTGTTCCACTGCGCATGGGGTCACCACGAATCTGGGGCCACTTCCATGACAACTACCAACAACAGCAACAATCCATCCTGTGATTTGTGTATTCTCATATGACTATTTTTATGTATTATTATTATTTCTTAAGACTATTTTTAGAGAGAAGGACAGCATAGCTTAAAGAGGGACTCAATATTCCAGGCCACAGAATCACTAAGGGGCAGCACCAGGGCTTCACCATGTCTCACTCCAAGTCCACTTCTCCTCCAGGAAGAACAGGCATTTCTCACAACTCTCTTTACTATATCAAACTATATGTGGGGTTACATCCTTGCCTCAACCAGATTTGGGAGCCATTTCCCCCATGCCACTCATTTCTCTAAGAGGAAAAAAAAAAAGAGCAAAGTCAAATTTTGCCTTTGAATCCAGAATGAATCCCTAACCTCTGATAAGTTTTGCACAGATCCCCATGTATCCCTTAAGGGTTCAGTTATTAGGAACTGCTCCATCTCTGACCTTTGTCTCTGAAATAACCTCTTCAGATGCCTCACCCCTTACTCTGCTTTATTTTTCTCCATTGTAATCATCATCATCTCCTAAACTTATATGAATTATGTAGTTGGCTACTTGTTTCCTTTCCTTGGATTGGAGGCTCCCTGAGGGCAGGGGTTTGTTTGTCTTGTTCCTGCAGTACCCACAGGGTCTAGCACAGTTCCTAGCACTTAGTAGGCTCAGTATTTGAGCAAAAACGTGAACAAAGTCAGCAGCCTGACGGGACTGATGGGAGGGGCCTCTGGTCAGCAGGGACCCAGCTTCCGGCACCCACCGATGGAGACAGACCAACCTGAGCAGGCTCGATCTCACCGCAGCACCGTAACAAAACCCACATTTCCATTTGGTGTCAGCTGGTGATGGCAAAACTCAATCATCCGGAACCCTACTTACCAAGTAATGCCACCAAGAGAAGGATCACAATGATGTTGTTGGCGTTCTTCTCTTTGTAGAAGTACAACAGCAAGCAGAACAGAATGATCACCACGAGCTACGGAAAGGAGCAAGGAGGGAGGTCAGCGCGACCACAGAGACAAGCAAAACTGGGCAACCCTGGTGGGCTGGGCCAGAGCTTATGCTGCTGATTTCATTAAAATCATAGCCCCTCAGAGTTGAAAGGGAATTAAAATACCCAGCATTTCCCAAACTAGTAATAGATATCATATGGAAAAAAAAGAAAATGCTGAGTGAAACTCTCTAATCCCTAGATAATACTGAGAAGGAATTCACCATTCACCTCAGGGCAGGGCCTCATGTCCACCCTGTCTTGGATGGCTAAGTTCATTGGGCTGAGACAGTCTTTTCCTACTTCACTGCTCCATGGGTGTCCCCACTGAAACTGGGTCAGTCAAAGAGGGAGACCCTTGTTCACCGAGAAGGAGTTTTTCTTGTCAAGTATACAAGTAGCCACACTCTCCTCATCTCTCTAACCAAGCCTTCCGCGTGTGTGGCTTGGCAGAGTAGGAGGAGGATGGCATTTGAAGTTAGGAAGGCCCAGGTTTGAACCTGGATCTGTTTGTGTGACCTTGAGCAAGTCACTTAACTTCTCTAAACCTCAGTTACCTCCTCTGTGAAAAAAGGATAATAATTCTTACCTTGCAGAGCCATGGTGAATAATACTAATTGTAGCTTACACTTTAATGGACACTTATTATATGCCAGGTGCTGTTCTAAGCATTTTATCTATACAAAACTCATTAAATCAGCACCATAATCCTATGAAGTAAGCACTATCACAATCTCAAGTGAGTAAATGGCAGAGCCAGGATTTGAACCTGAGGAGTCTGGCTCCAAGGCCCCTGAACTTTCTCACTAGGCTACACCGAAGAAAGCAGACCCAGTGCCTGGCGTTTAGAAGACACTGAATCAGCAGAAAATTATCATTAGATACTGGCAAGTCTGAACTTTGAGATGCTTCCCCCTTTGCATTAACAACTTCCCCTTCTACCCCTTCCTGCCCCAAACATTTGCCAATACTTTCCCAAGAAGTTAAGCCAGTCCCACAGCCAGTGAAATGAAGCAGAAAACTTTGACAATGGCTCACTCCATATGCCTACCCAACCCCCTATCAAGTTTATTTATTACAAAAAACTGACACAGAAACATTAATGGGATTTTGAAAAGAATTTAAAGAAAATTCCTCATAATCAGAGTACCGTAAAACACAGCTGTTTTCATTTTCCCGTTTCTTCCTTTTCTGTGTCCCAGTGAATACATATTTCATCTAGTTGTCATCATAGTCAATATATAATTTTGTACCAGGCTGTTTTTAGTTACCATAAACAATTCTCATGTCTTGTGAAGTTGTCATAATTATCTTTAATTGCTGTAGAATACTCCATCAAGCAGATGTATAGTCACTCATCAACATTCCTAACCATTGTGCATGTATTTAGGTGGTGTCAACTTTTTGGCCATTCTTCCTGATGTTTAAATGAATGTTGGAATAGCACTTGGTGGTATCGTAGGATGGCTGTATGTACAATCGATCCTCAATATTCACAGAGCCATATTTGCAAATTTTCCTACTTGTTAAAATTTATTTGTAACCCTAAAATCAATACTCATGGCACTTTCGTGGTCATTCGCAGATGTGTGCAGAACAGCAAAAAATTTAAGTTGTCCAGAGCACACCTTCCCAGTGGAGGATGAACAAGGGGACACTCTGCCTTCTTGCTCCAGCTCTCAGACTATAAACAGTGTCCTTTTCATGGTCTATTTAGTGCCATGTTTTCGCACTTTTGTGCTTTTTGTTGGTGATTTTGCTGTTTAAAATGGCCCCTAAGCATAGTGCCAAAGTGCTGTTTACTGTTTCTAAATGCAAGAAGGCTGTGATGTGCCTTTCAGAAAAATTACATGTGCTAGATAAGCTTCGTTCAGGCATGGATTATAGCGCTGTTGACTATGAGTTCAATGTTAATGAATCAACAATATATATTAAGTAAGATGTCTTTAAACAGAAACACACACAGAACAAGGTTATGTATTGATCAGTTGACAAAAATTTGTGACCAGAGACTCGCAGGAACCTAACGTTGTATTTCCCTGAGGAGCAATGGTTCAGTATTCACTAATCCAACGTTTGCGGTGACTTTATAGAACATAACTACCACCAAAACCAAGAATCAATGTATGTTGGTCTCTTCCATAAACTACGAGTTCTGTAAGCATATCTCCTTTATTTTTTTATACCCATAGTTTCTGGCACTCAGCAGACACTCAATAAATATTTACTGAATCTGACTTTGCCAAATCTCTCCAGCTGGC